AAAAGTGAGGTGAGCGCATAAGAATATTACATCTGATCCATGTTTGACGTTGCCGTTTTCAGACGTTTTATCAAATAGCGGACACATTTTTTGGATTGATTTTTTCACTAAAAAATATATTTTTTTGTGAATTGTGGACTATTTTTGATAATTTTACACTATAATTATTTTTCACTTGATATTAATGATATATTTTTTATTTAATATTACAATTATCAGATTGATTTTTAGACACGAGTCATAGAATATTTTGATTTAATTATTAGATTTATGTTTATTGATATAGTGGAGCGCAGCACATATTTATTATTTTAAATCAGTTATATGCACTATTATATGAGTAAGTGTTTGGGGTGTCAGTGAACCATGTGTGTATCAATTTAATTTGATTAATTATTCAGGCACTTTTTTATTCACCATAGTAGCTCGCAAGCACATTTTACAAATTTTTTCATTATGACACCAAAGGGTATATTTATCAAGTATTGAATGTGACTTTCATCAAACATTTACTGGTGAGTTTTCACCAAGCATTTTAACCACTTTAACCAGAGGATTTACCCCCCTTCCCTTCCATTTTTTGCGATACGGTGCTGTGTTAGTTTAACTGACAAATGCGCTGTTATGCAATGCTGCATCCAAATGAAATTTATGTCCTTTTTTTCCATAAATAGAGCTTTCTTTTGGTGGTATTTGAGCGCCTGTACGGTTTTTATTTTTGCACCATAAACAAAAAAAGACCGACAATTCTGAGAAAAAAAACTATATTTTTGACTTTTTGCTATTAAACATGGCGAGTGAAAAATTCTAATTTCATCATAAATTTAGGCCAAAATGTATTCTGCTACATGTCTTTGCTAAAAAAAAAAATCCCAATATGTGTAAATTAATTGGTTTGCATGAAAGTTATAACATTTACAAATGGCGATATATATACAGCAGTCTTGGGTTTTTTTTTTTCCATACCAGTAATGGCAGCGATCAGTGACTTATAGCGGGACAGCAGCGGGCAATATGACACGGGGGGGGGGACTGACTAACTGCCACTGACATCCCCAGGGACAATAATACAGTGATCAGTGCTAAAAAAAAAAAAAAGCGTGCGGGGCACCCGGAAATGAAAAATCACGTATATGTATACTGAATGTTTGGTAAATGTCAGATTCACTGATATATAAATATATACCGCTTTTTATCTTCCTTATTTAGCACTTATATTTTGGTTACTGGCAGATTTAAAATGGTATTAAACCCAAAAGCAACATATACCCAAAATAAATATATACCCAAAAGCAAGTACAGTAATACAAAGTATTTCAGCTTTCCCATCCATATATGCACATAACTTTTCTTAGGCTTTTTTCCTTTATTTCACCTGGTGATCCCACCATTAACACATTTTTTGTCCAATAGTGTCTGTATTCTGGATGAAGTATTAAAGCAGACACTATTAGGGAGCAAGCTATACAAAAAGATGGCAACCTCTCCAATTTATAACTATATAAGGGTCACATGGAAAGGCAATGCACATCACAAACAAAAATTTCCCAGCACACAGCAACTAGGCAGCAAACAATCAAACTGACCCTAACAATTCACACTAAAATGGAGGGTTTCATTGCACACATTTGCAAATACATTATATGTGGAAGAGCTTTTAGAGAACAGGATTGTTAGCCTGGGAGGAAGGGTAGTATTAGATTAGCAGATTTAGATGGACTTGGCTAACAAATTGAAGCTGGACTCCAGCTAACACATTATATGCAGCTACATTTTTCTTTTTGGGATAAAGGATTTGCATAAATGAACAAAAGATGACCATTGTAAGCACCCCTCTCTGTGGTAAATGGTTTGTCTCAACCCTGTAACTGCTACTTTATGTGCATAGCATGTTCTGTTAAAGGATAAGTTCATCTTTTTTGATAAAAATAATAAATGCAAATTTTGTTGCAGGCAAAAAAAATGTGCATTTATTATTTCTATCTGCAGGAGCCTGGAAAGCATTGCACCAGTAGATTGCTGAAGCCATGCAGGTCTCCTGCAGACCTGTCAGAATATCTGCTAGCCATAGGGGATGTACGGTCAAGCAGATATTCTGACAGGAAGCTTCAATGAACTACCACAGTGCTCTATAGCGCTGTGGTCGACCATTGAAAACTACAAGCCGACAGCCATTAAGGATGCTGGGACTTGTAGGCACTCATTCGCAGAACTCTGTGAATGAGTGATGTGGTCGTGTGGGCGGAGCCTCGCACGGCCACACTGTTTTCAAATCTAACAGATAGTATGGGGAGAAGTCTCCTTGTGCTATGTCAGAGGGAAGGCGGGCGGCGGGCCCGGCTGCAGCTATGGGAACATGTTACATGTTCCACCCTAAAAATGGGTGCAACATGCAACATGTTCCCAAAGGTGAACTTATCCTTTAAAGTAAGTTGAAAAAGAACAAACTTACTGGCAGGATCACCAGTGAAAATTAAAGAAAAAAGCCTAAATAAAAACCAATATAGCCACCATATCTAAGAACTGTCAAGCTGAAATTTAATGAATTTTTGGTTTTTGTGTTAATCCCATTATAAGAATAACCATATGTTTGTTTATAAACCTTAACAATTAACTTTTTTGCGTCTTTTTGGTCTGTTACGTATACCCTTGAAAGTTTTTTTTTTTTTTTTTTACGTTTATGTTTGATAAGTGAAAACAGTACATGTTGATCCTGCTGGAAATACAGAGTGTTATGGAGAAGAGGAGACTTCTTGTTCCAGGATGACTTTGCTGCTCTTCCATAGACACAGTACAGTGAATGAGTGTTGTCACCCCTAGGACAGGAGGTGTGTTTAGAAACACTTTAAAGGGGTACAATGTCAGAAATAAAAACACCTCTTTTAAGCAGAGAAATCGGCTCAGGAAGGCTCTAATCCTTCTGCACTCTCCTAAAAATAAATTGGGCTACTTGGCTTCATTAAAAAGCCACCCTCAGATTTTCATACCCCCTCTTCAAACATAGACGTCACTTGATCTATCCAACCTTGGGAACTGCAAGATTAGTCAATAATAGTCTTAATAAGTATTATTTAATATAATAATAATTAATAATAGTTAGTCAATAATAATCTTAGACTTTTACAATAAGCACCAAATTCCCAATTTTTTTCCACATCTTGTCCTTTCAGCTTTCTTTTCACTCCCTCCCAAAGTGCTCCAACTACGCCTACCCGTACCTAAACAACTATGGGTCTATGTATGAAAAAAATGTGTTTTCTGTGAATACCTCCAGCATTTGCACTGCTCAGCCCTGACAAATAATCCCTGCATTGTGTCTAATATGTTTATTCCCTATGTTAACCAGCTCCATCTAGAGGCCATAATGCAGTATTTTCCTGAAATACCTCAATCACAGGAAATATACATATTAGACACAATAAGGGCAAAAAAAGCAACATTTTTATAAATAGACTCCGAAATCTTTAGGAGTGGGTAGCAAAGTTATTTATGTCTAGGTAAATAAAGTAATATCCTTGGCTAATATTACATTCTGATGTTAGAATTGTGATGTTTGGGTTGGTTGTTACTTAAAAGTAAAGCATTCCAAAGAGTTTGCTCCCGCTCTTTTAGGGCTTGTTGGCTCACTTTTTATTTATAAAGAAAGACAAAATTCCATACTTTCCTTTGCAGAACTTTCCACTATAAACAAAAAAATAAACGATACCCAGCCTCCTATCTCTCTCTTCCAGTACTGTTGCTCAGGTCTCAAGCCTTGGCCTTTGGTCTGGTCCCTCAGACCAACCCCGAGTACCGTTGTGCTCTTGTGCAACCTTCACATCTTACATTCTGCTCTCGCTGCACTCCAAGCTTACTGCTGACCTGGCCCACTGGTTTAGGGCCTCCATCTGTTTCCTCAAAGGCTACACCTAGAAGTCTCCAATAAGATCTGGACAAATGATTGGGGGCTTCTTCTCACCCAATATACTTGGAAGCCTCTGGACTCCAGACACTGATACGGGAATTACAAAACCCAAAGAAAGATGAAAAAATAAATTTCTCTGCTCAGAACTGACATTCTGGAGCCCCTCAATCTGTATCCATATGTATCCTGTGCACTCTTTACCTTTACATAGCACTTTCACAGAATCATGTAGACTGGTTGGATGGATCAAGTGAAGCGTATGTCTGGATAGGAGGTGAGAAAATCTGAGGAGACTTTGTAGTGAAGCCAGTGGGCCAATTTGTTTTTAGCATAGAGGAGAAGGATCAGAGCCTCTGCCAGGTTTTATTAATGTCTGTAATATTTATTTACTGGACACAGTAACTTTAAAAAAAAAAAAAAAAGAAAGAACAGGAGAACATGGGATCAAACCACAGCACACCAGAGAAAGCCTAGGTATCAGAAAGATAAAAAGCAGATTCAGCCTGGCTTCATCCAGGCCACACCACCAATGTGTTTCACCCCATCCACAAGGCTTAGTCATCTCCATGACTAAGCCCTGTGGGCAAGGTGAAATGTGTCAAAGGATGGACCAGGGCTGAAGCTGCTTTTTCATCTGTCTGATACCTGGGCTTTCTATGGTGTATGGTGGTTTGGATCCCCATTTGCCTTGAGTGTATATAGAGCCAGGACAGACTCTCCACGGTGGAACTTGACATGGATTACTGGAAGTTTTTATGGTAAGAAACAAAGGTGTTTTTATTTGTAGCATAGTTAGACTTCCCTTCTTTTTCTGTCTTAGTGACAGGGGAAGAGGAAGTAAGGGTAAATCTACAGATACACAGAGAAAAAAAAACACCTTGTGAGGAAGGCTTAAAGTGTTAGATGAAGGCTAACATCTACTTATGTTATAACAACATCCTGTTTTATTTTACGCTGTCATTGCTCTTTAAAGGGTAACGCTTCATAAAATTAAACTGGTGCAGTCATACAGCGCTTTCATCCATATGACAAAGTACGGTTATCATTCTACCCTTCTCCTTCCCTTCTAGGCTTACAGCGGCTTTACTTATTGACTATGCAAACACATTACCAGCTCCGCATTGACCTGGCTGACTTTGAAAACGCTACCGCTTACGCTCAGTACAACACATTTGGCGTTGGCTTGTACTCGGTTAATCCAGAAGAAGATGGATACCCTCTCACGGTATTGGACTACTCAGGAAATGCAGGTAGATGCTTGGCTCATGTATGTGATGGGTGGTACAAATTTTACAAAATTAAAAGGTGTAATCTAAAAAACTAAAAAAATATTAAAAGTATGCCTAAAATCAAAACTTTTTTTTATTTTTGATAGCATAGGGAAGAATTGGAAACATTGCCAGTTCTTTTTTTTTTTCTTTTTGCTGTTTCCCATTGGGAGGATTTCCCTTCATTTCCTATCCCAGTGACACATCAGAAAATGAGAGGAAACCTCAACAGATGGAGAACATATTCTCTCTGAGATAGGTCAGGAAAGTGGAAAAATAGCAGTTATCTTATTGGTATTGCTGTCTTGAAGTATTGATGTTGATGTAAGTAATCTGGTTCCCAAGCAAGTGGCATCTAAATCTCAAAGGATCTTCATGGTCTTTTTGTTTTATAGTGTTATGTAATAAAACTGGAAGCCCCACACCATTACTAAAAGGTCCAAATCAGGGGCGGACTGACCATTTGGAAATTCGGGCACTGCCCGAGGGCCTGGGGTCAGTAGGGGGCCCCATGAGATGTCCCTGGTACCTTTCATAGGCTTTTTTGAGTGTGGGCGAGGACACAGGGGCCCCATGATCCCTTATTGCCCGGGGGCCCCATGAGTTGTCAGTCCGTCCCTGGTCCAGATATTACTTTATTCTAATAAAAGTGATCCAAAGAGTAATCCAACATGTTTTGAGGGTCCAAAAATGCCCCTTTCTTTAGGACTTTATTGAAAACATTGTGAATATACTTGGGCTGCCAAACGAGTTGCTGACAAAAACCTATACTTGTAATCAGAGTGGAAGAAAACACCCTTAAAGGTCCAGCTCAATTCTAGCCCATTCACAATGTTTTCAATGAGTGTAAAGTATCCCCACAACTGCCAAAATTTATTTAAAAAATGCAATTGCAATGAATGTAACAACAGGGGATAATATTGTACCAATGCTTTAAAACAGGGGTCTCCAAACATTCTGAACTTTAGAGAGGCCAGATTGTGGCCAGTAGGAGAAGAAAAAGTCATGGCATCACTGGGAGTAAACAATGCCCCATAACTGGCATCACTGGTATCAATGAGAGCAATAGTGCCCCATCATTGGTATCAATGGAAGGAATAGTGATCCACCATTGGCGTCAGTAGGAGGAATAGTACCCCACCATTAATATCAATGGGAGGAATAGTGCCCCATCATTGGTATCAGTGGGAGGAATAGTGCCCCATCATTGGTATCAGTAGGAGGAATAGTGCCCCATCGTTGGTATCAGTGGGAGGAATAGTGCCCCATTGTTGGTATCAGTGGGAGGAACAGTGCCCCATCATTGGTATCAGTGGGAGGAATAGTGCCCCATCATTGGTATCAGTGGGAGGAATAGTGCCCCATCATTGGTATCAGTGGGAGGAATAGTGCCCCATCATTAGTATCAGTGGGAGGAATAGTGCCCCATCGGTGGTATCAGTGGGAGGAATAGTGCTCCATCGGTGGTATCAGTGGGAGGAATAGTGCCCCATCGTTGGTATCAGTGGGAGGAATAGTGCCCCATCATTGGTATCAGTGGGAGGAATAGTGCCCCATTGTTGGTATCAGTGGGAGGAATAGTGATCCACCATTGGTGTTAGTAGGAGGAATAGTACCCCACCATTCATATCAATGGGAGGAACAGTGTCCCATCATTGGTGTGAAAGGCTGCAGTTTGGAGACCACTGCTTTAAAAGAGAAATGCACAAGCATACTGTATACAATTATTCAGCAATCAGGACAAAAGACATGCAAAATATTGTTCATCTGCTGAAAAATGTTCAAAAATTCTAGCCTATCATATTCATTTTTATGGCAACAGTTGTGTAAGAAAGATCTTTCAAAGAACAGTATTTCTCGGAGGAGTGAACATTCGTCTTGAATGCTGGTTACTGGCTGATTATCTCTGATATATCTGAATGCCACATGCTTTCTTAAGTCAATTCAAATAAAACTGACCAGCCGAGTAGCTAACTGTTTTTCTGTATTACTCAAGAACTATTGGAAGAGTTTGTTTCCGCTAACACAGATGTCTAAGAGTGCAGTTAAAAGGCACTTACAATGAAAGAGAAAACCATGAGTATTTTTCACCTACGGTTTTCAGCACACAAATTTGATTGAAACCTAAAACGATATCATTGATAAAACCAAGTACACCATGTACCACTCTTGCTCTTCTCCTTCTCAAAAGTATCAATATGTAGAAAACATAGAAATGATTTAATTCATACAACTTGTTTTTATACAGTACAAAACAAGCCCTTACATTTCATAATGGTGCCCTCTTTTCTTGCCTGCTAGGGGATTCTTTGGGAAAGCACAGCGGAATGAAATTCACCACCAAAGACATGGACAACGACCACTCCGAGAACAACTGTGCCAGCTTCTACCATGGAGCCTGGTGGTACCGCAACTGCCACACTTCAAACCTGAATGGGCAATATCTTCGCGGGCACCACGCTTCCTATGCAGATGGCATTGAGTGGTCTTCCTGGACAGGTTGGCAATATTCACTCAAGTTCACAGAGATGAAGATTCGCCCCTTACGAGAAGACAAGTGATCTTCTCATTGTTTCTTTACTGGGGTCTTTTTAAGGGAGAAATGCTAACTTGCACTCACTTATTTGGGTGGGAAACAAAACAAAAAACAAAAAAGCAAAGACTTTTCAGCACTTCTCAAAGCTATTGCACAAAAATATGTGTCAGTGCTGAGTTTCTGAATATATTGTAAAAGATGATATATATGAGTTCGCCAGAATGATCTGACAACGAAATCTGGAGAACTGAACACAAAAAAGGGAGATGTTTTGACAACTAATCAACAACACAATACTAAAGTGCCATTGCACCAACATCTCTTGTTGCACTTCATTGTCTCTCAGCCAATGCCCCTATTGAGAACTGAGGGACTTACTAAGACATTTGGTATCTACCTGTAAGTCCAGTGTTGACTGGAACCAAGACATCTATGTGCACCAGTTATATTTCTCAGTGTTCTAGGTGAAATGTTTTTTTTTTTTTTAAACTGTGTTTTGGTAGCCAAGATCACCCTGTAATTGCAGCCACACAATGCCTTCCTCTATGTTCCTGGCATCCCTTTGTTGACAGATGAGTGAAGACTTTGTGGAACCTATTGACTAATATTTTCTCCTCACGCTGCATTTGGCATTATTGGTCCTCCCCATGGTTCCTGTCATTTGTTTCTGCTATTCCTATTTTTCGGTGACTAGTTGGAGTTATTTCATGTTTACACCCCTGCAACATTTTCTTCGACACAGCTGCCTTGTCTCTGATGTCCGCTTGATTATTTCAACGCAGCAACAGACTTTGGATTGCTGCGTCTTCTGTCAGACAGATGACCTAGATGTTCATGTGGTGTGTGGGTGGAAAAGCAAAACAAGTTCTGGCACAGCTGGTTTCCAGGCTGTGTAGGGTAAGAAAATGTGAGGTGCCAAGCCAAAAAGACTTTGTGATAAATATTTGATTCTTAAATTACTGGTTTATAAGTTTTTTAAATTCTTTTGGAAAACTGTGCACATTTTGTCCAAGATAATGTTTTTGTGAGGACCGAGCATGGTGACCATGCTTTAAAGCTGGATCTAGAATGATGTGGCAGAATCATGTTTTGTTATCCCTTTATATAGCACAGACAAGCATCAAATCATCCAGAGCAGTCCCATGTGAAGTTTTCAAACTCCACCATGGTAATGTAAGCACACTGTAGGCCATTTTAGGCAGGAGTTAAGAAACACTCCAACATGCTTTTGGACTGTCAGGGGAAGGGGGGGGCAGATTTTTCAGATAGAACCCAAACATTGGGAGAACATTCAAAGCTTAAAATGTCAGGGCGTTTATGGGGAACCCAGGACTGCTGTACCAAAACATAGCTTCCTAGTGAAGTAGAACTTTTCACAAAAAAGTTTTTAATATAAAATTCCCAAGCTGTATAGAATGTATGTCAGCTTGACCAGAACCTTTCTACACATAAAAAATCTCTGCAATATTATCACCTCACAGCCTGATCTGGTTTCCTAACATCTCTTCAGCAAACATTTCAGGTTCCTTTATGTCAGCCTGGCAGCTGTTTAATGATCAGCACAGTCTCAATTACCAAAGACGAAAGGCTATTTGTAACAAGGTGCGCTAAACATTCTCTGCTTTTCTCATTGTGGTGACGCACACGTCCTCATAATTAGTTGGTCATTTTCAAAAACAGATTAAGGTGTTGCAGTGGAAAGACTCTTAGGGGAGGCTGTTATTTCCCAGTCATATTTACCTGCTCCTATGGGAGCAAGCTGTTATTTTAAGGGACATCAATAAACCCCCAGGAGGTCCTGCACCCCATGCCTGCACAGCCAGGCAATCAGTAATGAGTGTGATTCCTGTGGCTTCCTTGTGAAATCATTAGCATATTTCAAGCAGTTTATCTTTTCGCTACCTAGGCTGTGGCGGCCAGCATCGTAAACAAGTGTTTTGTAAATTAAAAGGAATCTAGGCGTATATAACCTAGAAGTTAATGGACCATGACAAAGTTGGTTGGTTATGCCCAGAGAGTGGCATTAACAGTCTGTTCATTAAAGCTGCTAGCTTGGCATTGGTGAACTATTCTTCTTCCCCTCCTTTCTTTTTGACGTGTAGAATGATTTTGCTTTTAATGTCTTGGTTAAATGAGCATGAAGTCTTCTCATTTGTCGTGCACGAAGGCAAAACTCAGCAGGAACACCTGAGCTGGTGTCAGCTGCAAATCTCCAGAATGAAGAACAGGTGCAGAGAGAGGAGCGGTCTCCTGGGACTTGGATATAAACGGGGAGAAAGGTCTAAGGAGAAGGGATTGAAGAAAATATGTGGGGAGGCAGGAGTTATGGGGAAGATGGAGTAGGGAAGAGACACAGATGGGAGGAGAGAGGCAGATGGAAAAGGCACTCGTTGTGACAAACACAGAGAACTACAGAGGAAGAGATGCCCAGATGGAAGAAGTGCAAAAGAAACACGGAGAAAGGAAGATAATGAACAAAATATGCTTTGACGAAATAATATTATTAACGCAGGGCGTTTTGATTAATAAGAATAATAATAATGTAAAAGGCCACAATGGGTATGGTGATATTTAAAATCCTCTGAGAGACACAAGATTGTCACTCGTAAGTCTTAACCCTTTGAGGACCAAGGGACGTATTTGTCCCATGTTTTTAATTGCCTGTATCATCTGATTAAGAACTTAAAATACTTTTTTTTTTTTGGTTTGAGTCAAAATATCAGTTATCAACAAATGGATCTAGCTTTTTGCCAATTATTTCATGAAATGGCTTAGTTACAGCAACTGAAGTGTACGAACTTTAAAAACAAAAAATTGATTCTTTTGGTGTTCTGTAATCTTATGGTCTTCAAAGGGTTAAAGAAAAGGTACTAGTCATGTTGGGTTGCCAGAAAAGAGCCAAACCATAGGTATCCATGTGTTCATCACCATACAGATGACGTTTCTAGGGGCATAGCTTTAGAGGACTAAGTTACCTAAATACAGAGGCACAGGAGGAAGGCGGGTAAGAAGTGTTTTATTTATAAACTTTTATTGCTGCCCTTATTTACAATTTAAATCAGGAACATGCATGTTGGGTTGGGTTATGTGAATGGGTTATATTCAGGACTTTACAAGGATTAAATATGAACTCCATACAGACAGCTAAACACACAATTTTTGAGCAAGGTGCTGTGTTGTGTGGAAGCCGAAGAGAGCAAACGGGGCAGATTGCAGAAAATGGAATTTATTGAAATGTTCCAACAAGTTACAAAAGGCCCAATGGGTGACCACAGCCATCCAGAAACACATGCAAAACTCACAGCAGTGATCCAGAGGTTCAGAGTGATGCTGACAGTGTCTGTAAGAGGAGTGGAAGTGCAGCCGGGCCAGTCCAACCCAGTTGGGAAGCTGCTCCAGAGAGAGATGCAGCAGTCCCTGCACTCTCTCTACTCTTCTGAAACCTTTCCCTATCGCTACGTGCTGTCCCTAACAGGCAGGGAACCTGTCCCTACTCTAGCCAAAATGTATGCAGCTTCAGGGGGACAGGAACTCAGACAGGCTCTATCCTCTCCCAAGATGGCTGCAGGGTCAGGAAGAGGCCAGCATCCAATCAGACAGCTGCTCCCTGGTAATCACAGGAAATCATAGAGGAACAAAGTTCCCCAAGACTTCCTTCCTGCTGCATTACCTCTTTGGATCAAATACAGTGCGGATTACAGACTGCACCTGCCACAAGTTGAAATACATCAATTGGAACTACTTGCAAACCTAAGGGTATGTAATTTCCTCCAGTTTTCTGGATAATAATACTGCCACCTCTGCCAGACATAGCCAGGTCAGGGACCTACATTGCAGCTATAGCAGGACCTGGGCACACCCTCAGCTTGCTGGCTAGATAAGAAAGGAGAAGCAGCACCTGCAGGAGGTTCTCCTTCTGCTCTCTCCTCTTTTCCGCATGTTTACTGCCAACACATGTTGTGATCCTGCTTAGCTACAAACTACATGTTATGAATACATAAAGCATTAATCAGTGTGGCCATCTGAAGTTGGATTTGACATAAGTAAGGCTTTGGGATCCTTTGTGTCAGGACAGCAGCTGTTACATACAAGCATACAAAATGTTCAAAGCTTATGTAGGTACCTTTTCATGATTCCTAGGCCTGTGTATATTTCGAAGCCTGAGCAGATGCAAGAAATGGCTGGCTTAAATTGAGTTTAGGGCTTAGAGCTTGAGGATAAGGCTCTTTGTAATGGCTCTCTTCTTAATCACCCTGGACAGAGACAAGTGATAGATTATAGCTGTGACACCTAAGCCTAGAGAAAGATGAGATGATTTGTTTGGTCGTTTTGCCCATTTTTTTAATGCTTGACACCTCAGCTAGGACCTGCTATTCAAAATGGCAGGGAAAAAAGGAATCAGGAAAAAGATTGTAACTTCTAGGCCAGTTTATTGTTATTTCTACAATCAGATCACATATAACCAAGAGATGGCTAACCAAAAACGGCGGTAGAGCTTAGGGACCAAGACGAAAATCCTGTAGACCTACAGCGGTTCCTTGATTATCCCCTAGACTGTAAATTGCCTACGCTCTCTTTAATTGGTGAGCTTCATCTCTACATTGCACAACAAATTAGCACTATAATGGATGATACCACCAAGGATTTTGCAATGGTTTCTGAAAAAATAAATCTAGCAGTTTTTTTTTCTACACAGTATTACATGTGTTTTGAGGATTTTTCAAATTAGGTGAAAATGATTTTGTGCAAATTAAAGGTATGTTGACAGATACATGACTTATTGCAATATGTGTGTACAGTGTTTTTTTTCTCTCTCACTGTGATGCATAATTAGATTTCCATGTAATCGCGTGTTGCTATGACTAAAGTAATACATCCCATCTGTGGTGGAAAAGTAGCAAATTAAGTCATCTGTAGAATTAACCAAAGCAAAGCATGCTGGGGGTTACTGTTCTCTAGGATAATTCATGTTCAATGCTCAGCAGCATCAGGAAAAACTTTTTTTTTTTCCCCCAGTTTTGGATATAGTGGGTAAGGATTATACTATTTGCCTTAGTCTTGATAATTGTCTTCTGGGTCTCTGGTGGGAAAATGCTATATTAACTGAATTCTCATTCCCTTACTATTCCCCTTCCCTGTGTGGAAGTCACTCTGAAAAATATGCAAATATCTATAGAAAGATCATTATAGTCTATCAGGGAAGGGTTGGAGCCTTGTATTGCCATCCATGTCCCCATAAGGCAGAATTCCTTTCCTATCCCTGACCACTCCCCAGTAGGCACAGAGACAGCAATGAAAACCCTTCCGCAATTTTTTCCAGACTTAGAGTTTTTTTTTTTTTTTCAATTGAACTATAGCTGCCATACTACTAGACTGCTGTGTCTAGTCTCTTCTATGGTAACCAGCAAAATGTGATCAGTTTTAACTGGGGCCAGTAGATAACCTGTACTTCCAAACAGTGGTAGTCAATTTAAGAGCTAAAGGGGGCCACACAATGTTCAAAAATGTGTATGTATATTACACACACATATATATATATATATATATATACACACACACACACACACACACATACACACACAGTATCTCACAGAAGTGAGTCCACCCCTCACATTTTTTGTAATTATTTTATTCTATCTTTTCATGTGACAACACTGAAGAAATGACACTTTGCTAAATGTAAGTAGTGAGTGTACAGCTTGTATAACAGTGTAAATTTGCTGTCCCCTCAAAATAACTCAACACACAGCCATTAATGTCTACACCGCTGGCAACAAAAGTGAGTACACTTTTAACTGAAAATGTCCAAATTGGGCCCAATTAGCCATTTTCCTTCCCAGTGTCATATGACTTGTTAGTGTTACAAGATCTCAGAGATGAATGGGGAGGTGGTGTGTTAAATGTGGTGTTATCGCTCTCACCCGGTCATACTGGTCACTGGAATTTCAACATGGCACCTCATGGCAATTAATTCTCTGAGGATCTGAAAAAAAGAATTGTTGCTCTACAAAAAAATGGCTAAGGCTATAAGAAGATTGCCAAGACCTGAAATTGAGCTGCAGCACGTTGGCCAAGACAATACAGTGGTTTAACAGGACAAGTTTCCACTCAGAACAGGCCTCGCCATGTTGAGTGCACGTGCTCAGCTTCATATCCAGAGGTTGTCTTTGGGAAATAGACGTATAAGTGCTGCCAGCATTGCTGCAGAGGTTGAAGGGGTGGGGGGTCAGCCTGTCAGTGCTCAGACCATACGCCGCACACTGCATCAAATTGGTCTGCATGGCTGTCGTCCCAGAAGGAAGCATCTTCTAAAGATGATGCACAAGAAAGCCCGCAAACAGTTTTCTGAAGACAAGTAGACTAAGGATATGGATTACTGGAACCATGTCCTGTGGTCTGATGACACCAAGATAAACGTATTTGTTTCAGATGATGTCAAATGTGTGGCAGCAACCAGGTGAGGAGTACAAAGACAAGTGTATCTTGCCTACAGGGAAGCATGGTGGGGGGAGTGCCATGATCTGGGGCTGCATGAGTGCTGCCGGCATTGGTGAGATACAGTTCTTTGAGGGAACTATGAATGTCAACATGTACTGTGACATACTGAAGTAGAGCATGATCCCCTGAGTCACTGTGAGCCATGTTGTGTCTGTGCCCACCCCAGCACCTTCAAAGAAGTCTCTGTGAGCCACGCTGTGTTTGTGCACCACTAGCACCCCCCACATAAATTAGTGTAAGCCATACTGTGTCTGCCCCTGCAACCACAGGAGTCACTGTGAGCCATGCTATGCCTATGCACCCCCAGTTATTACATGCTGAAAAGCAGGAGTAATTCCTAACCTTTTTCTTTCACACGTGCCTAATTGTTAAAAGCATGGAAACACCTTAAAAACAATTTCCTCTTAAATATTTTGTTTAATGAATTGGGGATGTCATGTGCTCCAATTAGATACTATAATGCTTAAATGACTCAATTTTCAATCACACAAGATTGAGTTTAAGTCAATGGGATTACATTTACCTAAAAGTGAAATTCCGCTTTAAGGCATTTTAAAGCGGGTGAATGAGCATTGCTGAGAGGTTGTCTTTTTAAGAAACAGCTTCCAGTAATACGTTTACTGGTACCAATGAGATTTCAGTTAATGAGGGTGTCAGCTGGCATGGCATGAGTATAGAAATGTCTAAGAGCAGTGGGGCAGCACCCAGATCCCATCTGGAGTGGATTAAGCTGCCAACTTTAACAGTCCTCTTCAGAGAAAACCTTAGGAGGCAGACAAAGAGCTTAGCAAGATGTTGAGAGCCATAACATTTTGGAGGGGTGTTGGAGAATCCACTTACACTTTTGGCTTTGAAATGATGTTAGATTTCAGAAACGTTATCACTAGTTCTAAAACAATGGCCTGCAGCAAAGCCAAGATTCTGAATTAATCCAAAAGTACGTTTTCTAGTGTGCAAATCTTTACACTCATAAATACTTATCAATGTGTGAAGTTTAAACACATTAACCACATTTTGAAAACATCTAAAAAAAAAAGGGAAAACCAGAGCGGGACATATAGAACCACTCACTATCAAAAAAGGTGTAACTGCCTGATTATACAATCACTTTTAGGAAAGCCGTACACAATTACATTGAACAATAAACTATCGATTTGATAATCATAATAAATCTAAGGCTATTTTTGTTCCTGCTTGATCAATTTTGAGCATCCCAGATTGATCCAGTCTAAATTACTCTGATCTGACTTGGTGGAAACATTAACTGTCTGTTGCTGTTATAATCACAGCATGCATGTGAATATCAGATTTTTGCTTGATCTGTCAGGTTTTCTTGTGAACAGGGGTAATCCTGTAAATTTCTACTTTCAAAAGCAATCTGAAGGAGAAGAAATGATTGAAACCTTATGTCTGTATGTTAAATTAATTTTATATATATTCAATGGTTTTATTGGGAAGATTAGCAATTAGAAACATAATGGTTTGAAATTGGTACATGTATGGGCCTAATTTAGATCTACGATAAACTCCAAAGTATAACGGCTTTTCAGACTGGATATACATTTGAATAGATTGCTAGGAAAAGCCCTCGTAATACCAGTATTGGTAAATCTAAAGGTGATTATATAGAGATTGTAACATGTATAGCCAATTTGTGAGAAAGAAAGAAAGAAAGAAAGAAAGAAGAGAGAGAAAGAAAGAGAGAGAGAGAGAGAGAGAGAGAGAGAAAGAAAGAAAGAAAGAAAGAAAGAAAGAAAGAAAGAAAGAAAGAAAGAAAAAAAGAAAGAAAGAAAGAAAGAAAGAAAGAAAGAAAGAAAGAAAGAAAAGAAAGAAAGAAAAAGAAAGAAAAAGAAAGAAAGAAACAAGTTATAGTGTATGTTAAGGCAAAAATATTTTAGTTTTGTATAGAGTTATAATAAAAGGTGAAATCCTGTAAGTTTTTTTAGGTCTCACTTCCTATCCTGCAGGCACAACAGGAGGTGATATCTCCAAATGAATGTAATTTATCTTTACTTCCTATCTTGGGGATTCAACAGGAGGTGAGTTGGGACAGCTTCAAATGAACAGAAATACCCTCGTAGGAGCCATCAGAACAAGCGGCCCAAGTGGAAGATATTCCTTTTTTGTTCTCATTCTGGTGACCACTAAATTTTGAATTTGTCCTCACTTCCTGTCCCAACAGAGGTCCTAATCCGTACCTACACTATCCAAAGCTAATAAAACGTTTTTGATTTACAGACATTTTAAACAAGACTATCATGGACAAATATACACGGTCATGTAGTCAACATACATTATTTGGAACCACATCCAGAGGACATAGTGAGGCTTGGAATGAGTTGACTACATAATGCTTGTTCTTCCCTGAAGAACAGCAAACTTCAGAAGAGCTCTTCAGTATTGACATGCCAGATCAAGTGCATTAGACATCGAAGATAGCAAGCTCTGTCTTCTCTACAGTCTGAAAGCCCCAAAAACTCTTTTCTCTTGGGGAACCTCAGAACTCTACATTTCTTCATTAATCCCATGCCTGCTTTGGAACCACTTGAGCCTCAGGGTTAAGTGGGTTCATAACGGACATGATGTTCAGTCATCTAAATCAATGCACATCTGAGAGACCTAGTGGCAAGGGAGATCAAAACCAACTCCCAGCTACACACAAAGCGTTAAAAGGTTAATACACTTAGCAGGATTCAATTCAGCTTTGAAATACCCTCCATTTTTTTTACTAATGCAGGAAAAAGGTCAACTGTTCTATTCTACCAAGGCTTTTTACCTGATGAAGTGGAGAATCTGAGGAGTTATTTTTCAAAGTAGCCAAAAGCACTCAGAGATTGTCTTCACGGTCTCGCCGATATGAAGTAAAGCATGCACCTGCGTCTTCTAATCAAGGTATCAGTAGGCAGCTGCCGTCTCCCACAATAGCTAGAGGCAACATGCATAGCTGCTGGTCATACCATCATGACAGTCAAGCCGATCACTAAAAAAATAGCCATACGCAAATAAAAAGTTGGTGAATAAATGGCAAAGTGAAGATTGGCTATAATTCGCTTTGAGTAAACCCCACCTTCAGCTCAGCACATACACTGAATTTTAATGGGAACAAGGAGCAATGGAGCTGAAAGAGATCGAAAAGGATTTTTTATGGCACAAAAGGAAAGTGTATTATTGTCTTTTCCACAAAGGATGAGCAGAAGGATTGGATTTAGGCAATTCATACAAAACATTTTATCAAAATTAAAGTGGTTGTAAACCTCAGACATGAAATATGAACAAAGCATATACCTCTATAGTGTGTACTTGTCTCAATCCAGAGCATTAAGTGTCATTTCTCTCTGCTGCCTCGTTCCTCTGCTATAAGCATGGGTAACTTCTGATGAGTTTTCCTGACACCAAGAGAAAAATTGTTGGTGGGGAGGGCACAACCCATGATTGACAGCCTCAGATCTGTTCCTGTGTGCTGTGTGGAGGGGGGATGTGTCCCTTCCCTCCAGTCAGCTCTCAGAGCTCTCCTCACTAAGCTCTGCAGTGTGTAATTTCAGCTATCCACCCCTTGATTTTCTTTTTTTTTTTTTTTTTTTTGTTATTAATATCTTTTATTAGGTTTTATTTCAATACATAAAACAAACAGTATGCAATTTATCAAAACATGAACAGCTCAACTAAACATCTTTAACACTCATTCTATCCCCCCTTGTCCCTCCCTACCCAATAATTACCCCTGTCCAGATGGTTCTTTCCATTTCTTTCTTAACCTGTCTACTAATCACATCAAAGCCCTATATTCTCTCTTCCCATTACAACTTTCCATTTATTCAGCTTAGTTCTCCAAGTCTACCACCCATTATTTCTAGATATTTTTCAGATGTTTTTAAAAACATAGCACCTGCTCCATTCTTTTCTAAGTTTTTCCATTCTATCTTCATCTATGTGGTATAACACCATCTTATTTATATACTCAATCCTCTCTATCCAATCTTTTATTGTTGGGGTGCACCCCTTGCTTTTCTGTGCTGAGAGATCCTGTGTAAATTCTCCACTTGGAGAACGGACCTAGGGGACAGCCCACTGTAAATTAACAGGTGCAACTTATGTAGGAGGATTTGTTTAATCTCTGTTCATCACCTGAGGCCAATCACGTCACTGGGTATTCGTAAGGGTTTACAACCACTTTAGGAGCACACAATAGCTTCAGTGAAAACCGCATGTGAGAGTAATCCAGAGATATGAGCAGCTGAAGGTACATGCAAAATTATGACTTCTCTCTGACATTTGGTTCTACTCCCTCCTTTTGTCTGCTGGGCAAGTCTAACAGACCAATAAGCAGGTAAAGGATGTGATAGTGGACAGAGAAATGCGGGCATTCAATTCAAGAATATAACATGCACATGGAGTTATCGCATCATTACAAATGGTTAACAGATATCAGGTCCATTGCAGCTCAGGTAAGTTGTACATGGAAAGGGGTTGGTAACTTTCAGAATCAGATTCACTTTATATGGCATTCTTAATGTCAGCTATAATGCAAAGTTCAGTGATATCTACAAATGTAAAAATTGATTTACTCACAGTTTGCGATTTTGATGCATCGATTTGTAAATAAAATACCTGTAATAACGTTGCACAAAACAGCATGCGGCTTTTAAAAATGTCCTGCTTCTTTCCATTGTGGATACATTTCCATTTGACATTCAGTGCTCCATGCATACTAGATCTTGGTCTCAGATGCAGGAAGGAAAAAAAATTTAAACCTGTACAGGTACAAGTAAAATCAATCAGTGGGCTGGTAATTCTGTACAGCAAATACTGGGAAAGTCCACTCTAATCCTGTTTAATAACTTACAGATGGGTCTGTTCACCGAATCTAATGTGCAACTTCCTCTCTCTACCCCTTGATGCCTCACCTATCAGATTTTTACATTAAAGGCAGATTTAACCACTTGCCTAC